GGTCCCCTCAAAACCAAACAACTTTTGTCTGAAAAATTTTTCTCTCCCGTGCTTGGTTTTCGACATATTCGACTGGATGGATTAAAATGGTCTACCTTGTATACGAATAATATCATGTGCTGTATGAAATGACAACTGATAATGACGGTTTTTATTTAAAATGTCATTTCCAATATTAGTAGATGTTCTTCAATATTTTAGTGAATATTTTGATGAATTATGGGCTACAATTTTAAGTGACTATTTTTAAAAAATATTATTTTTTTGAAAAATATGATTTTTGAAAAGTTATTTTTTTACCCAGAAGAGAGCATGTTGTTCAGTATATAAGAATCCTATATCTTATTGTGAATTACCATAGCTAACACCAAGCAATAATATTTTTTAAATTTAACGATCCAAGGTACCCAAGTAGGAATTTACTACTAGCATCAAAGTGGCCCAGTACCGATTTATGATAAATAGTACCGATTACTGATAAACGTTATAGTACCATATGTCAGTCGGATTTAGTATTGGTATGATACTGGGATGATAGAAAAGGGCCAGTATCGGAAAACAGTACTGTCACAGTACTGAAAATCAGTACTGTACCAGTATAAAAAAAAGTATTAATTCCTAGCACTGAGGAAATACCTATTCTGGGTCAGTACTGAGCCAATATCGATTCCTTTTTATTATTTGTACAATTGTTAATATCACAACTATATAGTACGGAAAGAAAGATTAGACCATGGTCGGGGGGGCTGCACTTTCGTATTTATACAGGTCTATTTTTAATAGTCATATGAGGAAAAATTCTTCGGGGCGACGGTTGGAATCGAGTCTTCAACTTGTCAGGCAAACGTTCTTACCACTGAGTTATTTAGGTTTCGCGTTAGTGACCTTTTCTGTTTTCCTATAAAGGACATTGGTATAGTCCGTTTTTTTATACTCGCACGATACTGGCCCAATATCCTCTATTAGCAGATCATATATGATTTTTACTTGGGTATCCAGTACTGATTCTACGAACAGAGCCAGTATCAATAATATATTTTAAATACTGGGCCAGTACCGAAAACAACAAACACTTTTCGATAACACCCTAGTATAAGTACGGTACGACTATCCAGTACCTAACATTAGTACGGAGCCAGTACCAATAATATAGCTTTTTCATATTAGGTTCAGTACCAAAACCGGACATTCATTTTTCAGTATTGATCCAGTATCGAGCCACTTTTGTGTACTGGCGAAACATATACGAGGGCTGCTCCGTAAGTTTTGCGACTAGTAAGGAAAACACGGCAATTTGTCATTGAAAATGGCTTTATTGTTTTTCAAAGTACTCTCCATGATGATCAATATACTTCTGCATTCGCTCAAACCATTTATTATAGCATCCATGACACTCCGAAAATGGTACCTCCAAAACATGTGTTTTAAACGCATCAACCGCTTCTTCTGGCGTCGAAAATCGTTGACCACGCAGTTTATTCTTGATGTTCGGGAACAAAAAGAAGTCATTGGGTGCCAAATCAGGACTGTACGGTGGATGACCCATTAATTCGATGTTTTCACTGGTCAAATAGGCGGTTGTTTGAGCCGATGTGTGAGAGCTCGCATTGTCATGGTGAAGAATGATTCGTCGTCTTGAGTTGTTTTTCCTTATTTGGCCGAAGACTTCTGGCAAACAAATGGTTGTGTACCACTCAGAATTGACCGTTCTACGTTTCTCTAAGGGTACTGTTGCCACATGACCAGTTTTTCCGAAAAAACAGGCGACCATTTGTTTCGAAATGCTTCGAGCGCGAACAACTTTTGTTGGGTTAGGTTCACTTTGAAAGACCCACACAGTCGACTGCTGTTTAGTTTCCGGCTCATATGCATAGATCCATGACTCGTCACCTGTGTAGAGGTTATATACGGCATTTGACGCACCTCGATCGAATTTCTTCAGCATTTTTTTGCACCAATTTACACGATCCTTTTTTTGAGCAATTGTGCGGGATCCAACGTGAACAAATTTTTTTTACGGCCAAATATTCATGCAATATCCTTTGTATGCAATTCATACCAACACCCAGGAATGCCTGAATCTCACGGTATATCACATGTCGATCTTGCATTATCAATTCACGCACAGCATCGATGTTTTCTGGCACAGCAGCTGATTTTGGACGACCTTCGCGAGGTTCGTCGGTGAGCGAACTACGATCACGATTGAATTCATTAAACCAGCGACAAATAGTGGTCTTGTGTGGTGCTTCATTGCCAAAAGTGGAAGCAAATTGATCGATGCACTCTTGTCTCGATAATCCACGTCGAAAGTCGTAAAAAATCATCGCACGAAAGTGTTCTCGTGTTAATTCCATTTTTTCGCTGAGACGCAATTTTCAAGTCACTGTAAACAATACAAGTAGCCTCCGTACGATAAAACGTTTCGAGTAAAAAAATCTTCCAAACTGTCAAATATTTTTGATGGTAAGGTTAGATTTTACCTAGCAACGCCAGTGTTGCCAAGTCGCAAAACTTACGGAGCAGCCCTCGTACAATTCTCTACTTGGATATCTACATCCCAGACAGCATACAATATATATATTTACAAAATATTTTAAAAATATAGATATTAAATATTTTATAAATGTTCAAATGTCCGAGATTTTCAGGTATAAAAAGGTTAATAATAAGTATTTAAAAATATTTATGAAAAACATTTTTTATAAATACTTCTATGAAAAAGATTATAATTAATGAAAAATTTATGATAAATATTCTTCATAAATATTTTTAAATATTTATCATAACTTTTTTCATATCTGAAAATCTCAGACATTAGAATATTTATAAATTATTTAATATCTATTATTCTAAAATATTTTAATAATTTTTCTATATATTCTAAAATATTTTAATAATTTTTCTATATATTCTAAAATATTTTAATAATATTTTAAAATATTGTGTGTTGCTTGGGATCACCTACGTTGTACATTATAGTCCAGAAGTTTGGAAGCAGTCATATTTTTGTGTGAAATAAAAAATTGTTTGTAAATATTATGAAAGCAATTGTTTATAATAAACGTTTATTGACATTGACGACTACTTTAGATTAGAACACTAATTTTATATGCCTATAGTTACATTACATTAAATAAAGAAATTCAATTAAATAAATCGACTGATAACTTTAACGAGCTCAGAAATTGTAACTTGCGTCTATGAATGCTTGAATTCAACTATTAAGATTCTACTTAATTAGAATACAATGATTAGATACTGGAATTGAGGATAAACATCATATTTCTGTGATTCAAAAGTGACCAAAACAAAGTAAGTGTTCAACCGCAAGTAGATAATAGCAAGAATTTATTAGATATAGGCACAAAGATTTGGTGTTCTGAACTAAAATAGTCGTCAATGTCAATAAAAATTCATTATAAACGGTTGCTTTCATAATATTTACAAACGATCTTTTATTTTACACAAAAATATGACTGATTCCAAACTTCTGGCCTAGTAATGTACATTCAACAAACTTATTGGTACAGGAGTTAATTCAATCTCGCTATACATCTATAAACACATCTTGAATAATACTGAAGCTGGGGAGAAAAGAAAATAAAGAAGAGAGAACAAAGAAGTGAGAAAAGATAGGAAAGGAAAGAAAAAAGAGCAAGAGAAGAGAAAAAGGGAGAAAAAAAAGAAGTATTCTCTGGGTGGCGTACATATAGACTTTGCAGTATTATATAAAGATAAAAATATTCCGATACCTCCAATGACATTGTACGATAAAAGAAAATTCTTATTTACCCTTCATTGTCTTCGTCTAAGGCGAACGCTCAGTTGAAATTTTATTTTCTAATTATTTTAATTACAATATATAAAGATGTCTTATAACAGTTGACTTTGAAACTTTCTGGCTTTTCATTTACAGCTTTTTAGATTATATTTGTATCGTCGTTTCTTTTATTTTATTAATTTTATTAATAAACTTAACTTTTATTAATAGACTCTGGAAGTGTTAGCGCGCGCTCACAGCGAGAATAAATACATGAGGTTAACGTGACTTGTGCTGTTACTAAAGAGTGACGCCAACATGTGCCCCATTTCTGAGCAGTGAAAAATGTAATAGATACCAAATTAAAGGCTTTGATGAGCTGATTACAAAAATATAAAATCAAATATAAATAATTAGGGCCTATGAGAGCTGGAGCGCTGAAAGTACGTACGCATATATTTAACTATTAAAACGAAATAATTGTGCACAAGATCTAATTATGTTTGTTTAATTATTATAATCAATATAAACATTTCAATCTTGTATTGGGTAATCTTTAATGTGAAGATAAAATAAATTCGGTCCACAAAATCAGTCACATAACGCTCATATATTGAATCTTAATGCATTAAGATGTCAATGCGTCTCTAAAACTTATATCTTTCTAATCAGCTCATCAAGACCTTTAATTTGGTAGCCATTTAAGTATATTTTTCGCTGCCCAGAAATGGGGCACATAACCTATCCAGTGACATCACTCTTTAATTCTAATGGATCGATAATAAATAAATATTTTAATACATCTACTCGTTCTATTTAATATTTAGTATAAATATTTAGTAATATTTCAATTTTCATTTAAATTTAATTAATAAGGCACGATATTACGCTCATACGAGATCACTATAATAAACATAATATTATAATGTTCGTTAACCAAATGAGGGCATTAGAGAGTTAAAGAAATGATAACATTAATTGTAATTTACATACATTACACAAAAACAAAGTCATTTAGTAAGCGGTGATTTACTATTCTACTAAATGTCCTACTAAAACTCAACAATTTTTATTTAAAACGTTTTTTTCTTATATTGTATATTTCCGAGATATTTCGGGTTGACATTTTAAAAAATTGGTAATTCTTTATGATATAGTTTTATAATTACTAAAAAATCTATAATTAAGACTTTTATCTAATGAATATTAAAAAGAGGTATCAGTAAAAAAAGAATACTTTTGCATATCCATGGTTGGCAGGAACGCAAAGAGCAGCAACGCTGAGCGCAGCTCTACCATCGTTATCGGCATGATCGATTTTAGCTCCGAAATCTAGTAGATGTTCTACAATCTCACTATGACCCATGTATGCTGCAGCAATCAGTGCAGTTCTACCTTCGTCATCTGTTCTGTTCACATCGGCACCATGTTGTAAAAGTGTTTTAACAATATCTTCATGTCCACCCCATGCAGCTGCCCTTAGTGCAGTTCGTTGATCCCAATCAGCGCAATCTACCATTGCACCGTGCTTTAAAAGTTGTTCGACCACCTGAAATAAAATTTATGAGAAATACTTCGTTTTACGGAATGTCTCATTTCAATTCTCTAAAGTACCTAGGATATCAAATAAGATATGAAAAAGTATTTTGAACATAAGTTGTAGAACTCCAATAAAAAGAAGATAATCGATATAAGCAGTCAAATATTTATTTGATCTTAAAAAGCTCTATTAAAATCAACTTTAATTTTTTATGGAAATATATAATTTTCTAAACATAAGTTGATTTTGCCGGTTATTTTACATATAAAAGCATTAGAATAAAATCTGAAAAATGAATAGAGATTTCCGAGATATTTTACATTTTATCATGATATTTCTTAATATTAAGAGATATGAAATATATACTATATGATGTGATGGCGTTTGAGCCTCCGTCATATTGAAACCGTTCTTGGCGAACGGCTGAAAGCGCTCGGTCCCGCAATAAGCACCGACACCTGATGGTCAGTAATGACACTGGGAACACGCGGTAGCCAAGGGAACCTGTAGCCAAGGCGAAAGGCATCGAACGCGGGCAAGCGTATCGTTATTAGGTATCCCGCAGGAGGCGGATGAGTTGTTTAACGAAGGGATAAATAAGCCAATACCGTGTGGGAGAGATCTCTTCTCCTACGATCTTCGGATGACACGTATAATCCGTTGTTAGCAGTCTGATCTCGCGAACTATCTTACGCCCCAGTTAGTCAAACCGAAAGACATTATCGGACAGCAGCCGCGATTCCACGCAAATCCGTGGGACCAAGAATTTGCAGGTGCGAGTGGGTGCAGCCGAACCAGCGGAAGCTACACCTATGGAGGGAGCAGTCGGACAGGGCGGAAGAACCTCGGCGTGAAAGACAAGAGGCAACAGAGGACGAGACACGATTATCTGGCAAGTCATTGTCCAGGGCTCAATTACCTCAAATTTCATAACACCAAATGGTCCGAAATTTCATCACATCAAACCTTATAGTCCCATAACTCCTAAACTTAATTACCCACGAGTTAAAAACCTCACTTTTACCCTAAACCCCATAACCCCCAATTCCATAACCCCGTTATGAGGTTATAAAATATTGGTTATGTAGTATGGGGTTTTTAACTCGTGGGTAATCAAGTTTAAGAGTTATGGGACTATAAAGTTTGGAATGATGGAGTTTCAGCTCCAGCGACCCCTTCGACGCGTAAACGGAGTTTAGGGTGAGTAATGTATAAGCCGGTGCACCGCAGCATGTGGACTATAAAGATTTCCACGGAAAACCAGCGGCGTGAGAGCCGCTTCGTCGTCAATAGCGTATCGAATAGCGTAGCGTTGTAAATATATTCTGTGTAGCGTATTTTGTGTTAGCCTAGCGTAGCGCCGCGTATATTTTGTATTGAGTAGTCTTTAATAAATTGCTATATATCAGGAAACTGTCGATCGTTATTGCATGTCCCTTCGAGATCCGAACCTCCGCGAGAGGTAGCTGCGCCCGTACCGGGCGGGCGTCCGTCGATCGTGTGGCGGAACCAGGGAGTCTAACTCCCCGGCGCATAGAATGCCAAAAAGCATTGGCAAACATTTGGTGGACAAAATTCTGCCTACATCACAAATCTGTATCGATTTTGATGAAACTTTTTTTAAAATACTCGTGAATAGTTCTACTATAATCTCTCACTGCCAAAATTTTGAATAAAATAAACATAACTCCAAAAAATAACCCCAAACTCCATTACCTATTACCTCTAATTGCCTTAAACTTCATAACGTTATGGTCCGAAACTCCATCATTCCAAACCTTATAGTCTCATAACTCTTAAACCTGATTACCCACGAGTTAAAAACCCCATGACCCCAAACTCCATAACTTCATAACAGAGTTATGGAATTTAGGGTTACGGGGTTTAGGATAAAAGTGAAATTTTTAACTCGTGGGTAATCAGGTTTAGGAGTTATGGGACTATAAGGTTTGGAGTGATGGAGTTTCCACCATGGTGTTATGAAGTTTGAGGTAATTAGGGGTAATAGGTAATAGAGTTTGAGGGATTATTTTTTGGGGGTTATGTTTACCTTTTTCAAATTTTTGGCAGTGAAACATTATAGTAGAACTATTCACGGGTATTTTAAAAAAAGTTTCATCAAAATTGATGCAGCTTTGTGATGTAGGCAAAATTTTATCCACCAAATGTGTTTTTCGGCACACTGTGCGGCGGTGCGGCAGTCTCCGCACCTGGCGCCCATTTACTAATTGAGACTACGAGAAGTGCGTGTTGATTCGTAAATAACCTGCTCGGGCGGAATTTGTGAGTGAGTGTCGCGTTGGTACATCGCGGCCGACGTTCAAAAAATATGTCATAAATAACCAAATACTAACACAAATAACCAAATACTAAAACAAATAACTATACACTTTTCGATAACCTTATCTAACAAGGAAACCCACACAAGTGTCCGCCTCCGATTTTCATGAATTTGTAATATGTTGTTCTTTAGATCAAAATAACAGACACGTATTTTTTTATATGTACGTTTTCTCAAGTTTAGAGAATGAAGTACCCCTTTGAAAAAAATCAGTTTTTTCATTCGAAGAGAATATAATAAAAACTATAAGAGATAGAAAAAATGTGTAATCGCGATGCGTCGCGTTCCGGATCGCTCGCGGATCGGTCGACTGTGTACGAGTTGTCAGAGGCTTTGTTTATGCGATGGCTCGCAGGGTGCGATGCGCGGTGCGCGGGACGTGGACGGTGTTGTAGTCACGTATTCGCGAGTTCGTCTGTTGACGTTTCTCGGCTTCTCGCCTCTTTAAATTTAATTAACAATTTCTTTCGGTGCTGTAACTGCTCTTCGATGCAGCACAGTATAAGCGGTCGATCGGTAATATTGCAACGGAGCTGCACGCGTGGTATCGCTCGTGTGGCGGTACCCTAGATCTCCTCTCGCGGAGATTCGATACTATTCCGTGTATGCGGTGCAGCAGTCTACCCTTGTGCACGGAACCTTAGCTATCGGAGTTTCCTTTGTAATTGAACGAGACTGGCTCGTTCTAACCTGAGCGCAGTTGCGGTAAAGACGGTGCTGCGGACGCGCCTATGCGTCGCGGTAACGAAGTAAGTGCAATCTCGCTTCCGGAGATCGTTGGCTAGTATCGCGGAGGTCGACTCGTGTCCTCGCGAGGCGACAACGACGGTGTGACCCTAACGCGGATCCTTAATACGCGGTGTCGAAGCTACGCTGCAATGGAGCGAAACTTCGAATCGACGATGCTGAGTTCGCACACGGCGACTCGATATGCTGTGATCTCGCTCGCGCTAAGGCGAAGGCGAGATCCGGTTTGCGGTGCGAAGGGTGCGTTAAGCGCCCTTCCTGTGTGTCGGTTCCAGGCCCTTCGGCGGCCGTGGAACCTTGCGGATGACGGTAGTTTTCAGTGTCGGCGTCACGAATCCATGAGCCGACGACGGAATGGTTGCTGTCGCGAATCCGCGAGCAGTAACCCGCGAGGAACGGTGTGAAGAACAATGTCGATGTCATAAGTCCATGAGTCGACGGTGGAGTGATTTCAGTCGCGAACAGAAATCTGCCAGGAACAGTATATGCGGTTTTCTCCAGAAAGCGGATGATCGGAATCGGATTCTCTCTGAAGAGCGGTAGATCGGATCTGATCTTGATTATAATTCGCGGCCTTTTATATATTGCGAATCACGCTTGATTCGCTGTCTACCACCGGTGTTTGGTGGCCGCGTTGTTTACTAGGACATGTTCTTTCGCATTTCTTTCTTGTCGCATTGTTCTGCGCTTTTCTGTCACGATATTTTGGATCGTTACAATAGTTTTGAATAAACTTGAATGGTTTGAAGAGTACTTTACAGAAATTATTTGAAAAAAAAAATTTTTTTAGTCAATATTTCCCCCACCACTTCTTCTTATTTTTCAAATTGTAAAATTTGTTAATAACGAAATGAAAGCCTATTTCAATACGAATTCAACCATATATGATAAAGTTATTTTCCGATATACCATTAATGGGAAAAAATTATAAACCCTTATATACGCATGTAATCCGTACCCGTCCGTGCGCTCAATTCTTTACGCAGCACGCATTCTACTTGTATTTTTGCTTACAGGAAATAACGATAAAGATAGATAAATTTCGCATTCTGCATTCAATGACGAAAGTTTTCATAACATACAGTCGGCGAAATGTTTATTACTTGTTATCACTTCAATATGCAATAAGATCATAGTATGAAGATATGAAATGTAAAAACGAATTATTTGAATTGCACGAACGAAATGACGCATATTTCTCTGTACAGAGTGTCTCATACTCTCCTCCGGGCATTTTGTGGGAACGTAGAACAGGTTGCGGTGAACATAAAATTCCTAATAATACCGTTTTGCGATATTCGCAATAATTATCGAGATATTAATTGCAGAAAATTTGTGAATGATCATGCAGAATATGGTAAATAAGTTATAGTAGCGATGACTGCCGTCGTGTACTTATAACTTAGGTTAAATTGAACAAAAAAGTCCTCTACTATTTTGAAAATAATTATATAGATTTTTAATTATTAATTAAAGAAGATTATTGCACGATTTTACGTGATAATGCACTCATTTTCTTTAATTAATAATTAAAAATCTAGGTGATTATTTGGAAAATGGTAGAGGACTTTTTTGTTCAATTTGACCTAAGGTATAAGTACACGACGGCACTCGTCGCTACTATAACTCATTTACCATATTCTGCATGATCATTTACAAATTTTCTACAATTAATATCTCGATAATTATTGCGAATATCGCAAAACGGTATAGGACTTTTATGTTCATTGTAACCTGTTCTATGTTCCCACAAAATGGCCGGAAGAGAGTGTGAGACACTCTGTATATATTAGCGGTAATACATGTGTATTGTAGTCTATCTATGCAGCCTATTTATTGATAATTTGAAAATTGTGTGTTTTAAATAGACATATTTTTATTTCAACCGAATTACTTATTCGTTCATATTTTACCAGACATT